ACTCTGTACCCTGTGGAGTACTCAGTACCTTTTTGTTTGATGTTACTGATGTTTGATGTTGCTCCCTTAAAATCTACTATTAAAATGTAGCAAAACCCTAAATCTAGACCTAACTCTAGCTCTAACTTTAACCTTACACCTAACCTCACCCTAAACCTAACCATAACACTAGCCATAACCAAGCCCTAGACCTAACTCTAGCTCTAGACCTAGTCCTAACCCTAACCTGAGCTCTAGTCCTAATTCTAACCCTAAACCTAGCCCAAACCCTATCCCTAACCCTAACCCTAACCCTAAATTTTATCCTACACTTAACCTAACATTTACCCTAACCATAATTCTAGCCCTAACTCTTGCCCTGGACTTAGTTGTAGACACAACCCTAACCCTAACCATAACCCTAACTCTATCTCTAATTCTATCCTTTAGCTTAACCTTAAACCTAGCCCTAACCCTAGCCCTAACCTTAGCCCAAGCCCTAACCCTAGCCCTAACTCTAGCCCTAACCTTAGCCCAAGCCCTAACCCTAGCCCTAATCTTAGCCCAAGCCCTAACCCTAGCCCTAACCCTATTTCTAGCCCTAACACTACATCTAATCCTAACTCTAATCCTTCCCCTTCCCCTAACCCTAAACCTAACCCTAACCCTAAGCCTAACCCAAACTCTGACCCTGACTCTGACCTTAACACTAACCCTAGCTCTAAACCTAACCTAACCCTAACACTAGACCTAGCCCTAAACCTAACCCTAAAACTAGCCATAACCATAACCCTAGACCTTACATTAGCCTTAGCCCTAACCCTAGCCCTAACCCTAACACTAAACCTAGTCCTAAACCTAGTTCTAACCCTGTCCCTTACCCTAATCCTAACCATAGTCCTAATCCAAGCCCTTACCCTAGCCCTAATCCTAGATCTACTCCTAACTCTAAATATAACCCTAACCCTAAGCCTACACCTCACCTGAACCCTAATCATAGTCGTAACCCTAACCTTAACCCTACCCTATCCCTAATGCTAATCCTAAATCTAACCTTAACTCTAAATTTTACCCTGACCCTAAACCTAACCCTTACCCTAACCCTAATCCTAGCCATAACTCTATCCCGAGACTTAGTTCTAACCCTAAAAATAACCATAAACCTAACCCTAAACTTAACCCAAGCCTTATCCCTAGTCTTAGCCCTAAACTTAACCCTAGCCTTAGCCTTAACATTAAGTCTTGACCTGACCTTAATCCAAACCCTAAACCTAGCCCTAACACTAACCCCAACCTAAACTAAGCCTCACACAAAACCTAACCCTAGACCTAACACTAGCCCTAATAGTAACTTTAGCCCTAGCAATAGCACTAACCCTAGCCCTAGCACTAACCCAAGTCCTACACTTCACCATAAGACTAACCCTAATTCGAGCACGAGGCCTATCCCTAACCCTAACCCTAGCCCTAGCCATAGCCATAGCCCTGAACTTCACCTTGAACCTGACCCTGACTATATCCCTGAGCCTGAAACTGGCCCTACCCTAACACTAACCCTAACCCTGATGCTAACTCTGAACCTAACACTGAACCTGACCCTTTTTCTGACCCTGACTCTGACCCCAACACTAACCCTAGCCCTAAACCATACCCAAAATCAAAACCTAACCCTGACACTAGCCCTACCCCTAACCCTAACTGTAACACTAAATATAAATCTAACCCTAACCCTAACACTAGACCTGACCCTAACCCTAACCCTAGAACTAACCATAGCCCTAACTTTAACCCTACACCTAGTCCCAACCCTAAATCTAACTTTAACCCTAGCCCTAACTCTAGCCCTAACTCTAGCCCTAAAACTAACTCTAGCCCTAGACCTGATCCTAGTCCTAACCTAAGCACTAGTTCTAATTCTAACCCTAATACTAGCTCTAACCCTAACAATAACCCTAATCCTAGCCCTAACCTAAGCACTAGTTCTAGTTATAACCCTAATACTAGCTCTAACCCTAACAATAACCCTAACCCTAGCCCTAACCCTAACCCTAAACCTAAGCCTAAACTTAATCCTAGCCCTAGTCCTAAACTTTACCTTAGCCCTAGCCTTAACCCTAACCTTTGCCCTAATTCTAAATCCAGCAGTAACTGTAGCCCAAACATTAGCCTCAACCCTAAATCTAAGCCTCACACCAAATCTAACCCTAACCCTAATCCTAGCACTCGCATTAACTTTAGCCCTATCCCTAGCCCTAGCACTAACCCTAGCCCTAACACTAACCCTAGCCCTACACTTTACCATAAGCCTAACCCTAATCCTAGCTCTAGGCCTACCCCTAACCTTAAACCTAACTCTAACCCTAACCCTAACCCAAATCCTAACCCTAAACCTAGAACTAGTCCTAACCTTGACTGTAAAACTAACAATAATCATAACCTTAGTCCTTACATTAACCCTAACTCTAATCCTAGCCCTAATCCTAGCACTAAACCTAGCCCTAATCCTAGCCCTAACCCTAGTTCTAAGCCTAATCCTTAACCTAGCACTAGCCCTAACCCTAACCCTAACCCTAACACATGCACTATACCTGGCCCAAATCCTGACCGTAAAACTAGCCCTAACCATAACCCTAGAATTTACATTAACCCTAACTCCACCAACTATAGCCCTAACTAACAATAACTCTGGCCCTAAATCTAACCCTAAACCTAGCCCTAACCCTAAACCTAACCCTACCTCTAGCTCTAACACTAGCTCTAACCCTATCCCTTATCCTAACACTAACCCTAGCTCTAACCCTAGCCATAGCCCTAACCTTAGATCTAAACCTAACTCTAACTCTAACCCTAATGCTAAGCATAAACCTAACCCTAACCCTAACTATAGCCCTAATCTTAGCCATAACCCTAATCTTAACCCTAAAGCTGACCCTAACACTAATCCTCAATTTTACCTTAACACTAAACATAACCCTAATCCTAGCCCTGACTTTATCCCTGGACTAGTCCTAGCCCTAACCCTAACCCTAGCCCTAAACCAAACCCTAGGCCTATCCTTAACCCTAGCCCTAAACTTAACCCTAGCCCTAGACTTAATCATAACCCTCACCTTAATTTTAAACTTATTCCTAACCCTAGCCCTAAAATTGGCCTCAACCCTAACCTTAAGCATCACACAAAACCTAACCCAAGACCTAAACCTAGCCCTAGCACTAACTTTAGCCCTATCCCTAGACCTAGCACTAACCCTAGCCCTAACACTAACCTTAGCCCTACACTTCACCCTAAGCCTAACCCTAATCCTAGCACTAGATCTAGCTCTAACCCTAACCTTAACCAAAACCCTAACTCTAACACTACACCTAGCCCTAACCCTGACAGTAAAACTAGCCCTAACCATATCCCTAGCCCTTACATTAACCCTAATTCTAACTCTAGCCCTAACATTATCACTAACCCCTAGCCTAATCCTAGTCCTAGCCAGAGCCCTAACCCCAACCCTAGCCCTAGCCATATCTCTAGCTCAAACCCCATTTCTTACCCTAACCCTAGCCCTAACCATAGCCATACCCATAACCCTAGATCTAAACCTAACTCTAACTCTAATCCTAGTGCTAAGCCTAAACCTAACCCTAACACTAATTCTAACCCTAACCCTAGCCATAACAGTAACCTAAACCCTAATGTTGACCTTAATCCTAACTCTAACCCTAAAGTATACCCCAACCCTAAACATAACCCTAAAGCTAATCCTTACCCTAATTTCAATCATAACCCTAACTCTAGGCCTAGACTTATCCTAACCCTAAGCCTAAACCTAACCATAGCCCTATCCCTAGCCCTAGCCCTAAACTAAACTTTAGCCCTACCCTTAACTCTAACCCTCCTCCTAACATTAAACTCAGCCTGAAACCTAGCCCTAACACTGACCCCAACCTTAACCCTAAGCCTCACACAAAACACAACCCTAGCCCAAATCCTAACCCTAGCACTAACGTTACCCATATACTTAGTCCTAGCCTTAACTCTAGCACTAACCCTAGACCTACACTTCACCCTAAGCCTAACCCTAACCCTAAACCTAACCTTAACCCTAACCCTAACATTAAACCCTAAACCTAACCCTAATTCTAACCCTTACATTAGCCATAACCCTAACCCTAGCCCTAAACCTAACGCTAACTCTAACCCTAATCCTAGCCCTAACCCTAGCCCTAACCCTAGCCCCAGCCCTAACCCTAGCTCTAACCCTATTCCTTACCCTAACAATAAACCTAGCCCAAACACTAGCCCTAACCCTAGTCCTACCATAACCATAGCCCAAACCCTTATTGCAGCCCTAACCCTAGCCATAACCCTTACCTTAACCCTAATGCAACCCTAACCCTAACCTTAAACATAACCCTAATCCTAGCCCTAAATCTAGCCCTGGACCTAGTAATAGCCCTAACCCTAACCTTAAACCTAACCCTAGCCCTGTCCTTAGCCTTAGCCCTAAAGTTAACCCTAGCCCTAACCTTAACCCTTATCCTTGCCCTACTTCTAAACCTAGCCCTAACCCTAGCCCTACCATTAGCCTCAACCCTAAACCTAAGCCTCAAACAAAACCTAATCCTAGCCCTAACTCTAGCCCTAGCACTAACTTTAGCCCTATCCCTATCCCATACATTAACCCTACCTCTAACCCTAGCCCTAAAGTGAACACTAACTTTAGCCATAATCCTACTCCTAAATAGCCCTAACACTAACCCTAACCCTAGACCTAACCCTAAACCTAACCCTATCCCTAGCCCTATCCCTAGCTCTAACTCTAGTGAT